CCCTCCTTTGAAAGAAGTAAAAGATGCTTCGCACAGAGCAAAGCAGGATTATGAGTTCAACTCTGCCACTACTCCGCCCTAAGCTGTCTATTCTGGTTTTATGTAAACCCACACATTCATTTAAAAGGAACTTGTTTGCTCTTTGCATCTGCTTCTCCCAGCACCTTAACTTAAGCAGAAAATGCTGCTGGTCTAAACTAAAATTCAGAAGTCTCTGTTACCTGGAAGCATAAATCCAAAAAGTCCAGTTGGAGGCCTACAGTCCCTTTCTGTTCAGCTGAAACAGTATTTCAGATACCATCATACTTGGGCTTTACAGAGTTAGGTTCACATAAAGGCTCTGAAGTTCAGGGTCCCTTATGTAGAGGTTTTCTCTTCCAAAACAAAATTACTTACCCCTCCTCCATCACCTTAAAAAAAAAAAAAAAAAGTGTGGCAAGGGAATGCCTAGGGGAAGGAATACTTTACTGCTCTTCCTTTCTTCTGTTTTCCCTGGTCAGGTATAGAAAGAGCAGAGCCTGGGGGATCAAGCCTTTGCTTCCCTGCTTTTATTCAATTATATTAGAACCTCGGCTACACATTTTGGCACTAATTGAAAAAGACTCGCCTTTACAAAGGCCTCAGGGCAAGGAGTTTTGCTGTTCTACCCATTTGTCATCTTCCTTATTCTGTTTGACTTCACAGAACAGAAATCAAATCTGGATCACAAGTGCAAAGAACAAACTCTTCATCAAGAATTATGTGCATTTAAGCATGACAAGAGGCAAGAACCATCTCGGAGGTGCATTTAGATGCAGAAGTAGCTCAAAAGAAGACCCTACACACAAGGCCCTAAATACCACATAAACAATTTTCCAGGCAACTATTGATAATGTTTGGTGAGAAACTATACAACAAAAATAGGAGGAACACAGAGATTAAATGAATATACTACAAAAAACCTATGTCTAGAAGATCATTTACCCAAAATATTTGAAAAAGGTAACCGAAAAAAAGAAGTAGATTTTGTGAAAAAAATCATTTCTCAAAAAAAATGGATTGATAACATCTAATCACAGGAATGATTTTGATCAATTCTCTGTTGAAGCCTTCCTACTTTGAATTGTAATAAAAAAGTAAAATAAAAAAAAATTAAAAAAAAAAAGGTGGACAGGAGAAAAGGATAAGTAAGGAAGAATTACTTTTTCTGGCATAAGCCTTTTGACGTAAGTAGTAGAAAGACACATCATAAAATTTGCTCTTGGTTTCTTGTCCAGGATAAAGATGTTCTGCCACAGAACATTGGGACTTTGAACACGGCAGGCAGCTACTATGAACTTACTTCCTTTGCTTTTTCCACTCCCTAAGTTTGCTCTAAGCCCTATGTTTCTTTATGGTATAGAAAAATCAAAGACCACCAATGGGAAGAATGAAGTGTTTTTACCAGTCCCTTCCTTTCTCTTACTAAAAAAACATATGATTTGATAATTTGGAAATGTAATAAAAAGGCAGCACAAGAGTTTGCCTATCTGCTGTCCCAAAGGTACAGAAAACTTTCAATCATGTTAGTAAAGAGCAGCAACGCTTGAGAAGCCATCTGAGATTTCACTTATCAACAAAGCCGGACAGTGCTCCAAGCAGTACAAACTTTGATTATTTGGGGTCAATCAAATATTCAGGTAATTAGGCCTAGCCTACTGGCTTAATAAGAAGCTGACAACAGCCAACATGTCTGTGCTAAGTACCCTCCAGGACCACAAGGACTGTGACAGCAGCTCCATGTTTCCCACAGCCTCTCTCGAAGTGTTAAGGAGCAACAGTCATCAGGAGCTCTCAGATGGCAAAACGAAACGGTCACCTGCTGTCTTGTAATCACTATCATGGGTGGATGGACTGCATGAAAACTCTTCCTTTTTTGCCACACCAGTTTGTTTCCAAGTCTCTCCACTTGCTTTCCTGCCCTCTGTGGTGAAGCTTTTTGAGGAGTCAATTTTGTCAGTTGGCACATCAAATATGAAAGCCTTCCTGGCTGCCTGTGACCCTTTATCCAGTGTGAAGGAATGATCGTGCAAAATCTTTCCATATTGTTTTTGTCTCACTGAGGGAAGCATCATTTTAGATGATAATGCCCTCCTCACGTTTGATCCTTAGTGATCTTTAAGAGTTGACTATTTTCACACTTGCACCTTAGCCTCAAGCACACATAAGGAGATGACTAGTGAGACAGACATCTATACAGTCTCGCTTTCTGTTCACCCTCTTCACTGAGAGAAAGCTAGAGTCTGAGTCCTCTATGAAGGAGGATCCCTATAATGACCTAAGGTGACAACATATTTTGATGTAGATGATGTCTAACAGGCAAATATTCAAAAGTCGTATAACCCACCATAGTTATAAGTCAAAAAAGAATAAGGAGAAGTTAGAGAACTTCTTGCATAGTTGAGAACAGAATTTCTAATTATAAACCTATCAGAGAGAAAGAATATATTAGAATATATATATATATATATATATATATATATCAGGTTCAGCTTTTCTCAATAAGCAACATAAATAAGACAGAATATATATATATATATATATATTTCCTCCTCATGGAAAGCATGGGACTGTTATGGAGACAGAA